TAGATTAGACATCTGTAAGAACTACTTCACAGTTAAGGCGGCTACCCTGGTCTCTACAAGGTCCCTTCCGACCCTATTTCTATGATTGTATGAAATTGGCAGAAGCCTCTGACTGTTCAGTTTGGCAGTAGCTGCAAGAGTGTTAATAGCTTTAGTTGCAAGGAGAGAGTGACTGACACTGTGGAATATTCTCTGTGCCTGTTCCATGCAGCCTCTTCAGCCATGACACTGGAAAATATTTGTCTTCATTCTTCCTTCCTAGCTAATAGTGCATGTATTTTCTGGGGGTAGGCAGTGTGCATGAAAACAATATATCCCCTCCCTCTCTACCCACACCCAGTGGCATGCAAACTCTTGTCTCTTCACAGAAGGCTAGGAACCCAATACGGCAAGTACAGTAAGAAAAGTAACATTTTCTTGTAAAAAAGGAAAGGCAATGAAAGATTGAGATTAATCAATATGCTGGCAACTGTGTAGTAACACAATGTTTTAGGCTTAATATCTTCAATTTAGATAGATTAATGAGGTGCTAAATCTACACAAATTATTTGCAGTACCTTTCTGTCTGGCTTTGGCTATCACTTCTATATGTTTCATTGCTGCCTTCAGCATCTTCTTTGTAATAACAGAAGGAATATCCACCTAAAAACAAATTCAAAATTAAGAAAAAAATTTCTGAAAAATAACATCAAGTTATACTCCACAAGAACTGCTCTGATCACTTGCCAAGTAGTAGATGTTGTCTATATTTGATTCTTACACCAAAACCCATGAATACACTGGAGAAATAACCATATGTCTTCCAAAAGCACTAAAGTCAACAAGAACCAGAATCAAAAGTGAAGACCACATCCTGTCTGCACACAGCACTGCCTGCAGCACTCATAGGTAGGGGCCTACTCGATCTGTGATTTCACAGAAATTGCAAAAATGGGGCACTGTCTATGAAAAAATATTGGGCAATATCTGCAAAATCCACAACCAAAAAAACCAAACAAATCTTAATAAAAATAAAATACTGGCTCCCCAGAGGAAGCCAGCAGTCCTAATGGTTGCTGTGGCCTGGCTGCACAGCCCACCAGAAAAAAAAAGGGGAAGGACAGTTACTAGCATGAGGAGGGACAGCCAAGATGGCCACCATTCCCACCCCTCACCGCTGACTGGCTGAGACAGCTGCCTATTGCTGCTGATTAGTGGAGAGCACAAGAGGTAGAGTCACATAACAGATAGCCCTCTTGGCCAGTCAGTGGTGAGGGGTGGAGCCATATGATGGACAGCCCTCAACCAATCAGCAGTGAGGGGCAGGGCCACCCAGGCCTCTCAGCCAGTCAGAGGCATAGGGAGAGCCCTGCTGCAATAAGCCCATGAAAATGGTGGCTGGCACTGCAGTCTGCCCACAAAATCAGTCTCCTGCATCCTTGATTTGGGCAGGTCCCTTATTCATCAGACCATAAGATCAAAAGGGACTTCCTGGGCCATCAAGTCCAGACTCTTATTATTATAAAACTATCCCAGTAATAGGGTCCCAATCATAAAACAAAGCAAATACAATATGAAAGAGAATATTACTGTTTAATTCTGTCAGCAGGATTTTTCAATCATAAAAACTACACTGGTGTTTATTTGGGCATTTAAATCTTTTTCTTAAAAAGAAAAATTAATGGTTATCTATTCTGACAAGAAACAAATTTCCCATGACCCAAGTAGACAAAGGATCCTCATGTTGGCAGAAATATCTAGTAGGGAATGCTAAACAATTTCTCTTTATTCTCAGGCTTTTTTTTGTTTGTTTGTTTGTTTTGTTTTTGTTTTTTTGAGGGGACCCAGAAGAAAGGCCAGGGCAAGAGCACAACCTAATGAAAATAATAAAGTAGTAAAAATGGGATAGTTTTCCTTCCAGAATTTTTAACCACAGAAATTAAAGGCATTTAAATCCAAAGCAATTAAAAATACTTCTCCCAACAACTAAAACGACAGACCAATTCATACTAATGCACAGCACCTTCTTTTTTTAAGTTCTGTGCAGAACTGTGGATGTGTTCCAGCTAAGTAAAGCAATGGCACGCTTCAAAGTATACAGCAACAAACAGATAAGCAGTTCATCCTTAATTTGACACTTCACTGCAAACTAAGCAAACTGTAAACACCTGGATATGGATGATCTAGGTTCCACTTAGGCTGTAAACAGAAGTTGTATTTGCCATGGTCCTGAATGCCCTAGGTTCTGATCCATGCCAAAACTGAAGTGGCACTTTCCATTTACACATATAGCCCTTCCAAGCTGCTATTGCTATTCCTCTACCAGTAGGTAGTAAGCCAGAACACACATCCTGGCCAGCTTGTTAGGGAATGACCACTGATGACCTTACCGCATAGGTGGGGAATTATTTGGGCCCAGGGACCACGTAGGAAGTTTTGATGAATTGCCATGGACCAGGTAAGCATCCTCCTCCCTCCCCCAGTGCAACAATTCACCAAAACTCATGTGGGATGGAGGTGCAGGTGGACATGAAACGGTGCTCAGGAATGGGATGGGCACTTAAGGCCGGGATCATAGGGCGAAGTTGCAGCACGATGACAGTGCAGGGCCGGGGCCCAGTGCAGAGCTGTGATCTGCTGCCTGTATACCCCTGTAACAGGCACAAGTTCTGCAGGCAGGGGCATGCAAGTAGCGGATTGTGACTGTGCCCTGGGCTCCAACTCCGCACTGCCACTGACCCTGGAGGCAGCTCCCTGCCTGCCCATGCTTCAACTGGTCTCCATAGAGACCCCAGAATCATGGGGCAGGGACAGTGTGGGGCCAGGGCCCAGGGCAGAGCTGTGATCCACTCCCTGAATGACCCTGCCCTTTGGGAGGGAGGAGGGTGTGGGGGGCAGGACAGGGGAGCAACCCTGCTGGTAAGCTGTGTATGCTGGCTGGGATGAGGGCCAGCAGACGTGGGCGAGAGCATAGTGCTGGCTGGCCTAAGCAGGGCTTAGCCCCACGTGGAGTGCTGCAGGGGCAGCCACAGGCCAGATGCAATCATTTGGCGGGCACACCCCATGGACCGTATTTTGCCCACCTCTGTCTAACAGGCACATAGCACAACATCCCATGAAAAAGTGTCACCACACTGTTTCCTGCAAACTTCAGACAATCTTGAAGCAGGTCTTGTACGTCTGCAGAATTAACAGGCTCTCTCCTAAGACAAATGTAATGTCTATTTACGAAACCCTTTGAGGTATTTAAAGAAGCAGAGAAAGCAGATAATAGACTGCAGCTCTGTGCTATTTAGCAGTTTTCTTTAATAGCTTCCTTAAATTTGATTTTGAAATGTTTACTGCAACATAGGAGATGATCTACTGCCAACACAAAGTATCATTAAAAAGAGCTGTGAAAAGAATTTCATTCTTAAGAATTCCACCCAACTCATCCAAAGCCAGGAGTACACGCTCTGGAGAAAGAAGGTATTCAAAAAGAGGAAAAAAAAGAATTCCAGAGGAAGTTTTCTATACAAAGGGTAATAAGTTCCTTTTGACAATAGACAAAAAAGCATATCACTTTCACTACAAAAAACATGTTAACATCTCTAAGCCATTTTACCTTGTGAATTCTGCGAACTAATACAGATGTGAAAAACCGCAATGTAGTTCTCAGCTCATCTACAAAGGATTCGTCATCTGTTACTTTTCTGCAATGTTTTAAAAAAAGATCATAATGTAAGAACACAGAAAATATTGGTTTGATATTGATCCATGTTACATCTGACACTTCTAAATGAAAGAATAATATCAAGTAGCACTTGAAAAACAAGAACTGTCACTAAAAAAAAAAAATATTCACAAAAACTGGGTAGGGCCCACAGGACTGGTCTGCTCTTTAAGAGTAGAAACACAAGACAAACTTAAATATGCTTATTAGGTAATAATTAGCCAAGACTGAGCAATGGTCAGTGCAAAACAGTCAGAAACAGCACCCCAATTCCTTTACTAATACTGACTGGCTGCATGACCTCAGAGCAGGGTTTCATGTCCAGTATAGTCTTTCCACAAAAAAGAGAGTTACCAATTTCAGAATAAGGGAGTGAGCCCAAATCAGCACTTACACAGCTCTCTGAAGAAGTGCTATAATGCTCAATATTATAAATTGATCCTGGCTGAAGTTTGAATGAGGTGGTGGAGCCAAAAGACTCCCTTGTGTCTAGTCTCCATATTCTGTCCTGAATGAGGTCAGCTAGCATTAGAAACAGCACAAAGATGATGTGCCCAAGTCCTTGCCATACCTAATTCTAACCCTGCTGCCTTTAGGCGAGGCAATCCAAAACTTGTCCAATATTTGAAACCTACCCCTTTGCAAAAGAATAGCAACCTTATTTTCTTGTCAAGGAAAAGAGGTCTGCCCCCAAACACAAGGGAAGGAGAAAAATGTCCCAGAATATTAAAAATATTTTCATTATAGCTAAAAGCAGTTAGAAGAGTTGTCCTCAACAAAAACTAAAAATCCTCTAAAAGCTTCAAGCAAATGGATCAGGTTCAGAATCTTTTCTTCTACTTGATCCAAGCACTTATTTCCAAAACCCTATTGTGCCAAGCAATGTACAAACATTAAGATGACCTGGTTCCTTTCAGATCCTGCGATTCCAAAACACACTGAAAATGTTTTCCACGTCAGTTCAATAGAACATCATGCAGGGCCCACAGACTCTTCATCATCTAACAATCAAATGTAATTTTAAGCGATAAAATATTGAAGACAGCCACTTGTGTGGCCACCCTTGAGTTTTATTTTAGTTAATAGCTCAGGAGATCATCTGTATTCCATGTGACCTTAAAGTCTACAGAACTAATAAAAAAACCCAAAAGGTTTTTCAACACAGTAATGCACAACATAGTGTTCAGGCTCCCCCTGCTGTTCTCCCAAGTCAGTTAAATGCATAAGTACAGATGCTTCCTCTGCCTGAAGAAGGGTGTTTGTACCCCAAAGCTCGCACAGAGGAATTTTTCCAGCTGTTTTAACTGGTCTAATAAAAGGTATCAGGTTTGCCCAAGGAACCTTGTCTGCCTATGTCCTTAGGCCAACCAACACCCCTACATTCAGAGCATTCATTGCACTACCAAAGCAGACACAGATATACAGACTTATGATATATTTAAAAATAAATTGACAAATAAGAATGCCCTAAGTAATAGGAAAAAAATCTGAGATTACAAAGAACAAGAGATAACAGAGAATAAGAAGGTGACAATAGTTAACAATTTATTTTAGCATCCAAAAATGAACCCTACATTTAAATAGGAAACTCACATACAAAGTTCGCAAGTAAAAGATGTTCTTCTGTACTTTATTCCCTTTTAGAAATTAATCTCATAACATGCAATTCAAATACCAAAAACTGAAATTTTCCTTCAAAATGCTTAGAAATACTAACAAACAATACACCTTTAAATTACAAAACCCTGGCACAGTCCCAGCCTTGTAAAGTCTTCTTTACATTTGAGCTTAAACTTTAACTGCGTACTCAAACTGAAAATAACTGCTCAAAGCCTTAAAATTAAGCATTCATAGAGGTCTTTGTAAGATTAAAGCTTGCATCTTGACTACATTTTCCTTACTTAAAAATAGATTTTAAAATTATTTGTAATTAAGAAAGCATTGTTTTTAAACTAAAAGCTCTGTGTTTTCAAACCATTAGTAAAAGTGTTAGCAAAATGTGACTTTCAGGAAAGACTCATTCAATTTAGCATGTATTTTTCAGTTTAAATGTCTTTAATTTTTCATAATAAAATTCACAAGATCTTTGTAATTTTTAACGAGGGGGTAGGAATAAACCATTCTACTTCACAAGCACAATATTAAAGTCATAAATTGATTAAACTGTTTTATGGAGAAAATGAAAAATAAGCTTTATAGTTTTACAGCTTTGCTAATCTTAACTATAATTGGTCAATAATTAAATTATGTTGTGAAGTAATTTTAACACTGCTATTTATAGTCAGAGCCCTGTTATACATTTTGTAACATCTGCAGCACTGTTACATATACCAGAACACAAAAAAACAGAATGTTTTTGGAGGTAATTGCTTTGAATAAGTAGTCTTCATTTTAGAGAAAAAGTTATTTCTATGAAAAGCTCATACCTGTACCATGGATAAACAAAATTTTCCAGCACCAATTCAAGCACCTGTAACAAATAAAAGACAAGTGTTATATAATATGCAACTTATTTAGTGGAAGAACATCAAGAAAAAAAAAGTCACGATTCTTTCCCAATATCATAAAATATGGACATTGCAACTCTAAAATGGCAAGATTACATGTAAATGAACAAAATGCCATGGTGCAGAAGAATATATAAAAAGTAAAGACAAGAGGAAAACAGAGTCCAGCAAACCAGTACTTTTAGCTTTGTATTGAATCAAATACTGCTAAAGGGAAAATCTGTCTATGGATTACAGAGAAATTTACTATAGCTACCAAAAAGGAAGTATAAACAGGGATCGGCAATATTTTTGGCCAGAGTGCCAAACACGTCAACCTGCACCCACGCCTAGACTTGGTGTGCCAGAGGCAGGGGAACTGCGAGGGGCCCGATCCTCATTGCTGGTGGTGGCTGGATATGTGCCTCCAAAAGGACAACAGGGGAGGGACTGGGGTTGCACTGCCCCAGCCCCTTCCCTGCTGTGCACCATGAGGCATGTGCACAGCTACTACTGCCACAGAGCTGGTAAATAGCACAGCTGTTGCAGCCTGCCCATTGCCTGCTGCAGCTGCCCAAAACCCATGCTGGCTGCAGTCGGGAGGGTACAAAACAAGCGTACCAGGGTCCGCAGCCCCAGCACCGGCTCCGTGGCAGCAGCAGCTCCATGTGTGCCTCTGAGCACATGGCCGGGAAGAGGCCTGGGACAATGCAACCCTGGTCCCTCCCCTGCCACCTGCCCCAAGGCACAAGTGCAACTGCCACTGCCACAGAGCCAATTTAAGGGCTGCAGAGCCCCAAGCAGTTGTTTGCAGCTTCTGGCTGCTTGTCACAGCCGGCCTGGGCTCCAGGCAGCTGCAGCAGGTGGTGGGCAGGCTGCGAACAGCTGCACTAGGCTCCACAGCCCTGGTACTGGCTCCATGGCAGCAGAAGATTCACACATGCCTCCTGGTAGACCACAGAGGAAGGGTCAGGGTTGCACCACACCAAGCCACTTTTTGGCCGTGTGCCTGGGGGCACATATACAGCTGCCACAGCCATGGAGCTGCCGAGCCTGGCACAGGTATTTGCAGTCTCCCAGCTGCAGCCAGCCCAGGCTCTGGGCAGCTGCTGCCTGCCACAGAAATCAGGATGCTTGCAGCAGGGCTTGCAGCCTTCTAGCTGCCTGCTGCGAGCAGTCTGGGCTCCATGGCCAGTGATGGCTGCCCAAAACCTGGGCCAGCTGTGGTGTGCCAAGCAAAATGGCCTCAGATGCCCTGCTCTGGCGCACATGCACATGCCAAGGGTTGCTGATCCCTGAACTATAAGATTAAAGGACTAAGGATACAGCACTGAATAGCAAGTCAGAGCAAAGATCCTGGAGATCAAATGGAAGGAAGCAAGGCAAGTCTACATATAACCAGCAGGAAAGCCTTATATGTAATAACTACATGGTTAAGAAGATGGGAACCTCAGGAGCAGAACAAAGGATCCCAGATGAAAGACAGCATAGGTAGCCAAGCTGCTGCACAGCTCTGGATTGTTAGGGGCATTATTTGACTACCTGGGACAAAATCTTGTTTGCAACAGGCTTGTCTATCAAACCTATGAAAGGATTAATTAGGCAGACAGAGGAGGATGTTTTGTTTTCTGCTCTTGAGGAACAGGGTTTTTTCCAACACCTCTTCAGTAACTTGGAGCCAGGAATTTGAGAGTCTCAGACCTAATGAAAGATTAATCAGACATGTGGAAGGATTCTTAAATCATTAATATCATTTCTTTCAAGGCACTGACCAGAGAGACTTCTGATCAGCCCTCTATCCCCAATATGTAGCCTTGGATTATGCCGATCTCACAAGTCTGATCAAACAGTAAATAAACACAGACTCCACATACAGCAATGCAGATGACTTAACACTGACTTATCATTGGAAACACGTTTTGTATCTTGTGACATCTACAGTAGTACTATGTCCTGCATCTCATGCAAAAATGAACAGCAGCCTCCTTATCCCATTTGACAGGAAACCCCCAGGGTAATTTGAACCCAAACCAGGATGAATGGGAAAGCAGAAGCAAAGCATCATGGAATTTGCATAAGCAGCACCAACACTGCACAGAGTTTGTAAAAGAAACATGCTCCATATGAGTACCAAGTCACTTCTGCTCTACCATCTTTCACACAAGAACCAAAATCCTCAGGGCTGTAACACCTTAGGGAAACCATGAGATCATTAGGGCAATAATACTCTCTCACAAACTGCAACACTTCTGCTCTTACTATATACTACCAGCCTCCAGTACAGCGAGGGCCAACCTTTTTGGCAGATGCAGCACTAACAAGCCTCACACCCTCTCTGAGTGTCACTCCAGTCCCCTGCTCTGGA